ATAGAAGGGGGTGATGTATGGTTCATGGCTGGTAAGCAGACTTTCTACCCCCTCGTTTGGGACTCAGCCTCTAAGATTTCTTTAACTGGCATTTCTCCTTATAGTAGTGGATTCCTACAATATTTGTCCTTTTGTGATTTACTAATCTCACTCAGCATAAAGGTTTCCAGGTCCTTCCATGTCACGCGATGTTTCATGGAACATCAGTTTTTAGGGATGCATCATATTCCATTGTGTGCATATACATAATCTCTTCACCTAGTCTTCCACTGTCGAGTATCTGGGTTTCTTCCAGTTGCTTGCTCTTGTGAATGGTGGTGTGATGAACATGAGCGAGCACACACCCACGTGTTTCTTTGGGGTAGGTGTCTAACATGGTATTGCTGGATCGTATGATATCTCAAATCCCAGCTGATTGAAGTATTGGCATATTATTATCCATAGTAGTTGTATATATTTACAAATACACTAACAGTGTATATGAGTTCCATTCTCTCCACAACTTCGTGAGCGTTTGTTGTTTTCTGTTTTTCTGAGTTAAGTTTGCATTGAGGGTGTGAAGTGGTATCTCATTGTGGTTTTAATTTGCATCTCCCTGATGGTTAGTGATCAGGACCATTTTTTCTGTGTTTGTTTGCCATTTGTACTTCATTTTTGGTGAACTATCTGTTCATGTCTTTTCCTCACTTCTTAATTGGGTTATTTGTTATTTTCCTATCGGACTGCAGTAGAGCTCTCTAGATTTTGGTATTTAGACCCTTGTGTGATGTGTGAGAGCCCCTCATTTGTGGGCTCTCGTTTGACTCTCCGGATGAAGTCTTTGGATGTGCATAACTGATGTAATGCCAGCATGTCCCCTTCATCTATTTTGTCTTCCACTGTGTGTACTTCTTTCTTATAGTTGGTGTCTCTGTATGCCCTGCAATAGGACCCTTAAGTTAGTTCCAGTCTTTTCACTGATGATGCTAAGAGCTTTGGGGTTTACATTTAGGTTTTTAATCCACCTTGAGTTCGTTTTTGTGCCTGGGGAGAGATATCGCTCTTGCTTCATTCTTCTACATATAAAAATCCAGTTTGTCCAACACCCTTTTTTTGAAGAGGCTGCCTTGTCCCATTGGATATTTCTAGGTCCTTTGTCAAAGATGACTTGCCTGTAGGCTGATGCACTTATGGCTGGGTTTTCTGTTCTGATCCATTGGTCTATATATCTTGTTGTACCAGGACCAGACTGTTGGGAATACTGTGGCTGTGCAGTAGGTTTTTAGGTCAGGTAGTGGGAAGTCTGCTCCCTGGTTCTTCTTTTTAAGAAGTTCTTTGCTTATTCTGGATTCTTTGCCTCTATCAGTTATTCTGATGAGAGTTTCTCCCATCATGAATAGAATGTTGCTAGACATGTGGACATTAAATATCCTTCTGGTGAAATAGGAACATGTGACTGATTAGACATTGAAAGAATGATGATTTTCTTTTTAATGCAATGGCAAGAAACTTGTCTAAATTATGCTTAAGTGATTATTGGATTGTAGGATTTGTAAGTTGGATATTTGGCTAAGTAGCTTTCTAAACAACATCTTAAAGGGACAGGTGGTTTCTTCTTACCACTTACAGTAGAATGTGGTGGGAAAGAAGGCTTTAAAATAAACTGGTGCAAAAACTTCAGGATTTGGAAAATATTGCGTAAAAACTAAGGGCATGTCACATGTCCCAGCACTCTCACTGAGGACCCGCTGATTCAATCTTTTGTTAAAGAAACCAAGGCTGTGATTGCTGGCTCTATTTACCACTGAAGCAGAAATCCCATCAATTTAGGCGGAAAGGGACAGACAGTAGGAAGTGAAGGAAATCTGCCTGTTTCCTGGAATTATACAGGCAGGAAATGGGCCCATGAGGAGATTTGTTTGTGAACATATGTTTTCCTCCAAGAAAAGAAAAAAGACCATCCCAGTAGTATTTCAGACATCAGCAAAATTGTAGGAGGGAACATAATGGACAGGGCTGCCTCCATTTTTAAGGGTGGAAAAACTCTGCTAAATTCGGAGTCCGATTCCACCAACTCATTTCCTGAGTGTGGGGCTGCTACTCAGGTGGCTCAAGAAGATGGGTCACTGCACAGAGCTGAGGAGGCAGAGCTGCTGTGTCCAAAAGACAGACTGGAGCCTACAGACTGGATGAGTGAGTGGGTTTGCCACTCAGCTGGGCTCGGAGAATGGCGCTATCCAAAGCTGAGGGCTTTGGGCCTGGTGGACCTGAAACAGGGACTGGTGCCGACAGCCAAAGGACTTCCACCAGAGCATGGAGAGCGCGCTCCACACTCGGTGTCTGGAGGGTGCGTGATTGTGTGGTTGATCCTGGAGAGCAGATTATTTTCAAGCCTTGATAACTAACAAAATATGTTCCGCTGGGTTTTGGATCTGCTTGCATCCATGAAACTTTCTTTCCCTCCAGTCTCGACTATTTGTAATGGAATTGTCTACTCAGTATTTGTTCCACTATTGTACTTTGGGAGTGGATAACTTGTATTCTAGCTATCACAGGGAGACTGATGAACAGGACTTTTGCCCCAGTGTGAAACACAGCTAGTCGTACTCCATCTAGATGATTCCGAAGAGATTTGGGACTTAGGGATGATGCTGGAATGGCATAAAACTTGTGAGATGGGCCAAATGTGTTTTGCATGTGGGAAGGACATGAATTTGGGGGCCAAAAGGTAGAACGTTAAAGATCAAATTTTATTCCACCAAAAATATATATTGTAAATCTTGCTAGAAAAAAATAATCTCCCTCTTGGAAAACAATGGCAGCTTGTGTATTGCATAGCAATAAACTTTCCTGATTAGCTGAGTGGGAAACTTTTCTGAGTGCCCAACTCAAAGATGATGCCTACTCGGCCATCTGAATGTGTGTCGCTCTTCACGTTCTGGCAATAATCCCATGTCACTGAACCAGGCTTCTGAAATGGCTTACTGGGTCTTTTCCAAGTCTTACGTTCCAGAACTTTGCCTTGTCATTTTCCCAATTTAGGTATCATTTTGCATTATCCAATTTAACAAGTTACACCTGTTCACTCCCTTCTTTGTTTGTGATTGAACTTGTGTGAAACCCTATAGCTGTCGTGTCCTTTCTTACTCAGAGTGACCTCATAGGACAGAGTAGAGCTGCCCCTTTGGCTTTGAGAAACTGTCTTTATTGGAGGAGAAAGCCTCATCTTTCTCCCATAGTAGCTGGTGGTTTCAAACCGCAGACCTTGTGGTTAGCAGCCCACGGAGTAACCCATTACATCACCAGGGCTACCCCCACACACCCCCTTATATGTGTGTATATATGCTTATATAGGTATTGTGTGTATATATAATACATATATTGTCAAGTGATAATATTTTTAAAAGTCCAATTTATTGAGGTATAACTTATAAAGAAAAATTCACAATTTTAAGGCATAAAATCCAATAAGGCTTGATAAATATCAACAATCATATAGCGATGCCAAATCAAGATTTAAAATATTTTCATCGGCCTCAAAAGTTTCCTTGTGTTCTTTTATAGTTATTTCCTTGTTTACATCCAGCCCGTAGAAACCACTGATGTGTTCCTCATTTTCACCCTTTCCCAAATGTACTACCAATGGAGCCAAACATTGATAATCTTTATATTTTCAATAATACTTTTGACATTATTCCATAGTGTTGCATATATCATATTTTAGTTATTTTGTTTGTCAAACACTCTTTTTTTTGGGTAAGAATGTATAATATTTTTACTCCTCGCTCAGAACTGATTCACCAGTGGATGAACATTCTTGGCCAAAATACAACCCTAAGTTCTGTTGAAAAGATGAATTTTGTTCTCCGTATATCCTTGACTAAAATCAGTTCAACTGGGCAGAAGGATCATCGGAAAGGTCTTTGAACTTGGCCTTAACAAATTGGCAGGGCTAGAAGGATCAAGAAAAGGGATATGGTTATTCATTCCAGATCCAGTCCCCTGAGCAGAGGAGGAAGGAAAGGAAAAGGAAAAGAAAGCTATGTTTTGGAGTGAGAATAACATCTCGCAAACGATTTCACAGGAGCAAACAAAGGAGATTTCTAAGTGGAAACTCCCAATAATTAAATATTGAAAACTGCCTCAAATGTAAAACTCAGCTGGTCAAAGCACATTGACAAAAGCAGGCAGCAATTTCAGTTCTACATAAAACAAAACAAAAAGCCACAAAAGAACCCCCGTCATTTGTAAAACCTGGACTGTTATAAACAGCCCCCTCCTCCTTCACAGACACATGCATTTTGCGGTGAGAACATAACCTCTCACCAAGACCATGGGCATGTGTCTCCCTGTCTTCTTTCCATAGATCCGTCACTCAACCCCTCCTCCGGGACGCAGTCTCCAGGTTACGGCAACCTTCACCTAAAGAAGTCAACACAGAGCGCTGGAGCTTTACTTTGGTTTTCTGTGTGTTGGCTGCAGTTAGATGGGCTCAGGCTGTGTGTGTGCTGTGGTGACCGAGACTTTCAGAGGTTATTTTGTCGCGTCCGACCACTTTCCGAGTATAAAATGTGGAGGATCACACAGGATCCAGAGCAAGACCAGAGGCAGGATTGGGGGACCATCAGGGAACAATGTCCGAACCCAAAGCGGCGGAAGCAAAGGTGCGGGGAGGACACACTAGGGGGCGCCAGCCGGAAGTACCCGTATGCGGAAGTAGCCGCAAGGGTCTCTGGTAAGTGTAGTCTTGGAAGTGGAGTAGTCCTAGAGCGTGCCTCTCACTGGTGCCCCACCTCCCTTCCCCACTCCCCAGGTTTTGTCAAAAAGAAAGGCATGAGCCCTGGTGTCCTAGTGTGTGTGTTTGTCAGGTGCCTCGACTCGCGGCTCAGAAGCCGCTCCCGCGGCGGCTCCTGGGAGTTGCAGGCCGTGAGAGCACGTCCGGCCATTCGATGGATTGTGGGGCTTGTAGTCCGGGTACCCCGCTAGTTCAGGTCAGCCGCCGGCGGCGGGACCCACCCACTGCCTGCACTTCGGCAGCGCTTTGTGAGTGAGGTCAGCGGCTTGGGAGCACGGGGGAGCGGCAGGGGCCGGGGGTCGCTGGGGAGGCTTAGGGTGCAGATCGCGAGTGGCCTTTCGCGGGAGGAGGAGAGGCTTCGTGTCCGCGCGTGGAGTGGATCACGGAAGTGCATTCGAGCTGGCAGTCTTAGGGTGAGGTGGGGCTGATCCGTGAGTTTTCGGCTGGAGGGCCGCGCCTGGGCCCGAAGTCCCTGGTTGCCAGATGGCTTGGCCCAGGCTGATCTGCACCCCGATTTTCGTTCTTGGAGGCGGGGCGGTAACGGGACCCCAGTTCTTTCTCCACGTGGTATGTGGGCCGTACGCCGGAAGTCCCCAAGTGTTTTGCTGGGTTACTACACGCAGGGCTTGGGACAAACCTCTCGGATGGTGCGTGGGAGCCCTGGCCCAGTCCATAAATCCTGAATTTTTACAGGGTAGAAGGGAGTCCAGGCTTGGGCAGGCAGCTCACACACGATCGTGGATATCGAGGTGCTTGCCAGAGTTTGGGCTGGGCCAAATTGTGGGAAAGAGGTGCTGCTCTGGCCAAGCATCTTGGGGGTTTTGGCGGGTTAGACAGAGGTTTATGGTGGAGGAAACGGCTAAACATGCACAGATGGTAGGATAAGGGGGCGTGTCTTGGGCCTTCCGGTTTTGGGTAGTCTAGGCAGTTCTTGTCTCCAGCTCTGCTGACCCAGTTTTTCATAATGAACAGGAGTCATGACTTGGTGCAAATATTTTGGGTTTGGGTAGGAACCGGGGTAGCTAGTTTGGTTTGCCTGATTCTCCTTTGGGCTGTGGACTTTAGCAGGCTGCCCTCAGGGTCAGGGCCCTGTGGAGGGGAGGGAATAGACTGGGGGCCACTGAGGGCATGCTTTTGCCAAAGTGCCTGGCTAGCTGACACCTGAGGAACTGATTCAGACATCTCTGGTGGTGGTCAGGCCTTGAGGCTTTTACTTTTAAGGTTATGTTATGAGGGGAAAGAAATAAAACATACCCAGAAGTTGAGTGCATAGTCAAAAGTGCTCTCATGACGCATCTCTCAGACCCCACATGTAATCAGCTTGTTGCCCATCCTTCTGTTTCATCCAATCCCCTGAACTCACTTGAGGACAGTCTTTGATATCATACCCTTAAGAGCCAGGCTGACTGGTTAAGTTCATGGCCTTCCCTGGTCAGAGTTTAGGTCCAGGATATGCCACTAGCTGTGCTACCTGAAGCAAGCCACTTTTACCTTTCTGTGCTTTAGTTTCTTAATCTAGTTGGGTTTTTTTTAAAGCAAAACAAACCAGTTGCTGACAAATTGATTCTGACCAATGACAACCTTACATGTTTCGGAATAGAAATGCACTTCATAGGGGTTTCAAGGCTGTGATAGTTTGGAAGTAATTTGCCAGGCCCCTCTTCTGTGGTGCCTCTGGGTGGATTTGAACTGTTAATCTTTAAGCTAGTAGCTGTATGTGTGTGCCTTGCACATGTAGACGTGCTGTAACTACAACTTCTAGGTGGCTACAAGACTGCTAGGAGTGAGACACATCTGCTGGTGTGTATAGGTATGTATGGCATGTAGGTATCTATGACTGAGCTGGACACATGAGACACTTACACACTTTTGACAAAGTGAAAGCCATTATTATTTATAGAAAGCAAGCAGTAATCACTAACAACAAATTCTCAAAGGGGACATTCTTCCCTTTCTCCAGATTATTCATATCTGTTTTATGTTGCTAGGCAGGTACAGTCTGGTATAAATCAGATGCTGTATCTGGCTACCACCAGGGCCATGCATAACTCGCTCTGTGACCCCAGCTGCAGCCGGAAGACCCCTGCACAGGCTCTCCTGAGCCTCTACCTTGGGGCCCTTCTAAGACCCTGCTACATGTTTCTGCTACTGGTTTGGGTCTGTTGTGATCTCTTGCTGCCTTGATACCTGGATCTCCACTGTCCAGGGATTGGGATGGGGAGGCATGTAATCCCTCCTCCGGGCACACCACATGCCTTTCTTGCCATAAGCAAGTGGCATAGCTCTTAACTACAGTGTCAAGCCTTCTTCCTGGAGGCATCCAGCTCTGTCCTGCCCTAGGAAGACTCTTGGACAGCATCCTTCAAGGCAACCCCCTGCACAGGCACAGTCAGGCTTTTGCCCTGCACAGGAATGTGGTCCACCTACCTCTTTTAACTCTGCTGGATGCTTCCTGCCCAGGGGTACTCAGTTCTTGCTCTGTGGGCTAGCAAATCCATGCCTACTAACTCTCACCATCTTGTGCTGTCTTCAGTGCCCCAACCCATTCTTCCAGGTCTAGGAGGTTCTCAGCACAGGGACTCTGGGTCTTTGGCCCAAAGGATCTGTTCCACTACAGACTCTTTTTGGAGGTAGTGAGATTTCCCACTTTAGCCACCCCATTTCCACTGCTGTGGGATTGACCCTTACAAAAGTCAGCCCCTTGTCAATTTCAAGGTATGGCCCTTCCACCAAGATCACAAACAGACCAGTCCCCTCATAGGACAGAAAGTCACTCAATTTGTACCACAAATGGACCGCTCCCTTGCATTACTGTAGCTCAGATAGTCATTTTGGGGCAGTTACAAGACCATGGCTAGAAATCTATATACAAGTGATTTCATGACACTTAACTGCATCATTCAATGGAGTTAGTTTCCATCTTTCATAAAGAGGATTGAAGACATGACTTATTTCAAAGGGCTGTTGTGAGGCTTGAGTGAGGCAAAATTTGTATAACGACTAAGTAGTCTTTGGCATATTTGAAATGCTTAGTGAGTAGTTAATCTGATGATCAGTAAGAAACGGTGAAGTCTTGCAGGGACAAAGAGAGTAGATTTCATACTTTAAAGCAAATCAAGGAGTCCTGGTGGAGCAGCAAGTTAAGCACTTGGTTGCTCCTCTCTGGAGGAGAAAGATTTACAGTCTAGGAAACCCTAAGGAACAGGCCTACTCTGTCCTGCAGAGTTTCTGTGACTCAGAATCAACTCAACAGTTCTTTTTATAGCACACCAGAAAAAGTGTTCTCATGCCTTACTCCAACTCTGTCTCCTAGAAGCTGTGAAAGAGTCTTTTTTCTATTGTAAACTTTTTTGGTAAACCTTTGTTTTGTGGTTGTCAAGAAAGGGAGGCCCCTCTTTGCCGCCGAGTGGTAACTTGGAGATTTCCAGTATGGCGTCTGGAGGCCCGGAAACATTCTTGGGGTTCACACCACCTTTTTCTTTCCCAGGACAGCCTTCTCTAGTGCTTGCTCTCTTGGAACGGACTGCCTTTTGAGGGAGAGGAACCTCATAGCATATTTTCAGGTATGTACCACCTAACTTTTGTGGTCTTCTGCTCCAATTGGCAGGTGAACTGCCTGTCTTCTTCCTTGACTTCGTTTGTCCTGTAACATCCCCTCGGTAACTGATTTCCCAGGAAACAAGCTGCTTCCAGGGGTGAGGCTTCTTTGGAAATGATCCTCCAAGTCTGCAGTTCAAATTGACTTCATCTGTGGAAAGAGATGAGGGAGAACCTGACTATCAGCTGTTAAAACCAGCCCAGAGGCTGACACATGGAATAGACCATCAATTGCTCAGACAAGTAAGTTCAAGTTGAAGCTAATGAAAATTAAAACAAGTCCATGAGAGCCAAAATGCAACCTTGGATATATCCTACCTAAATTTCAAGAACATTTCAAGAACAAAGTTGACACATTTAACACTAATGACAGAGGACCTGATGAGTTGTGGGATGATATAAAAAAATCATACATGAAGAAAGCAAAAGGTCATTAATAAGATAGAGAAAGGAAAGATCAGCATGGTTAGGAGATGAGACTCTGAAACTTGCTCTTAATCATAGAGTAGTTAAGGCAAATGGAATAAATGATGAAGTCAAAAAGCTGAATAGAAAATTTCAAAGAGCAGCTTGAGAAGACAGACTAAAAGACTGTAATGAAATTAAAAAGCAAAAAAGGAAAAACACATCATGTCTTAAACCGAAAACTCAAGAAAAAATTTAAGCTTCAAGTTGCATGATTGAACGATTCTATGGGCAACATGTTGAACAATGCAGAAAGTGCCAAAAAAGATGGAAAGAGTACACAGAGTCACTGTACCAAAAGGAACTAGTTGACATTGAACCGTTTCAAGAAGTAGCATATAAGCAAGAACCATTGGTACTTAGGAAAGAAATTCAAGCTGCATTGAAAGCATTAGTCAAAAACAAACCTCCAGGAAATGATGGAACTGAAATGTTTTAACAAGCAGATGAGGCACTGGAAGCTCTTGCTGCTCTATGCCAAGATTTTTGGAAGACAGCTACTTGGCCAACTGACTGGAAGAGATCCATATTTGTACCCATTCCAAAGAAAGGCGACCCAACACAATGTAGATATTATTGAACTATATCATTAATAATACATGTAAGTAAAATGTTGCTAAAGAAAACCCAACACTGGTTGCACTAATACACTGACAGGGAGCTCCCGAAGCTTCAAGCCAGATCTGAAGAGGACATGAAACAAGCGATATCATTCCTGAGGTCAGATGGATCTTGGCTGAAAACAGCAAATCCCAGTAAGATGTTCATTTGTGTTTCATTGACTATGCCAAGGCATTTGACAGTGTGAATCATAACAAAGTATGGATAACATCGAGAAGAATGGGAATTACAGAACCTGTACATGGGTCAAGGAGCAGTTGTGCGAACAGAACAAGGTAATACTGCCTGGTTTAAAATCAGGAAAGGTGTGCCCCAAGGTTGTATCTGCTCACCATAATTATTCAATGTGTATGCTGAGCAATTACTCAGAGAAGCTGGATTATACGAAGAAGAATGCGGCATCAGGATCAGAGGAAGGCTTATTAATCTGCGATATTAACAACCTATGACACAATCTTGCTTGCTGTTGAGAAGGACATGAAGCACTTATTGATGAAGATCAGGGATTGCAGCCTTCCATATGGATTACAACTCAATGTAAAGAAAACCAAACTCTTCACAGCTGGACCAGTAGTTAACAGAATGATAAATGGAGAAAAGATTGACGTTCTCAAGGACTGATCCACTTGGATCCACCATTAATGCTTATGGAGCAACAGTGAAGAAATCAAATGACCCATTGCATTGGGATCTGCTGCTCAAAGTGCTGAAAAGCAAGGATGTTACCTCGAGGACTAAGGTGCGCTCACCCAAGCCGTGGTCTTTTCAGGTGCCTCATATGCATGTGAAAGTTGGACATTGCATTCTGAAGGCTGAAGAAGAATCAATGTATTTGAGTTATGGTGCTGGCAAAGAATATTTAAAGTACCACATATTGCCAAAAGAACAAATCATTCCGTCTTCAAAGAAGTACAGCTAGAACGCTTCTTAGAGGAAAGGATGGGCACTTAGTCTCATGTACTTTGGACATGTTATCAGGACAGACCAGTCCCTTAAGAAACACATCATGCTTAATAAAGTAGAGGGCCAGAGAAAATGAGGCAGACCCTCAGCAAGGTGGATTGACACTGGCTGCAAAGATGGGCTCAAACAGAAGAACAGTCGTGAGGACGGCCCCCGGCCAGGCAGTGTTTCTTTCTGTTGTGCACATGGTCTCGCTCTGAGCTGGAATTGACTGGACAGCATCTAACAATATCGACAATCTCAAGTGTTCTTAGTTTTCGTATTTCCTGCTTTCTCGGTAGCCTTTAATGCCATTGGCCTGGCTCTCTCGCTATCTTCAATGACACACTTTTCCCTTGGTCTCGGGGATCCCTTGCTCTCTTCATAACGTACAGGGTGTTTCTTCGTTTCCTGCCCCTTTTCCCTACACTTTCTCCCCGTGAAGACCCAGTCCTACACTGCCCTCTGCTGAGCCTTTCTGTTCTCGGGGCTTACTGCTATCAAGATGACATCAGCCTAGACCTTGGTTTTGAACTGCAGATTTATAATCTCTAGCAGCATACTCAACAGTTCTCTTTAGGTGTTGAAAAGATGACTCATTCGTTCAAGTCCAGAACCGGTCTTCTGACCTTATCCCCAGTGTGCACTACTCTCAGCATCCCCCAACTCAGTTTACGGCCAGTCCATCCTTCCAATTGCTTAGGATCAAGTCTTGGCTTCATTTGGGCTCTTTTCTTGCCCTTCACATCGCACATTCAATGAGAACATCCAGAATTTGACCACCTTTGATCGCTTCCACTATTTCCAACTTGGTTGAAGCCACCATCATATTTCATCTGAATAATAGTTCCAGAGGATTAAAAGATTGAACCTTTAGTAGTCCGGTACAAACTCTTTTTGCCACCCATGGGCCTCATTTCTTCATTAGTATATTTAAAATCTGATGAATTCACCTAGTGGTGGGCAGATGAGAGCTCCACGCCCTGGCCAGAACCTGTCCTCGTTCTCTGAGCCTTTCCTCCAGGGTCCGAGTGAATCATTGCTGCTTGGGTGTTCTTCGCAACTTTCCTACTCCCTCCTATGGGCTGGAGTCGAGGCTTGCTTTTGGTGATTAGGAGAGCATTTCTACTCAAGACTTACCTCTTACTTTCCTTTTATGTTCCCAGATCTGCCTTTGTTACGTTCCTCTTCTCCAGGGAGTGCATCCACAAGATAAGGAAATGGCCACAGGACCTCTGGGAGCCAGGGATGAGGTGAGTATTCCAGGAAATTCCATCCCAGGGCTTGCCCTAGAGGCCGGCTTGATGGTAATCCGATGTCTTAAAGGAGTAACTTGTCTTACTCTCTCAGCAGCTCTCTCTAGTGTACCCACTCACAAGTAATTAACTATGACCAATACAGTTTAAAGAGGGGAGATGTTCATCTTAATTGCCCAGTAATGATTTAGTTAAGTTCAGACATTATAACAGAGACCACTGGTCTTCAGAAAAGACTTCTAGTGATTGAGTGGTTCCTAAAGGAGTCCCCATGTTGGGAGTTGGGGAGAAGGGAGAATACCAGTGAAGAGAATGAGATGGGTAGGCTGAACCAGTGGGTGAATTACCCTGGCCACATGTTAACGTTTGTAGCAGCCAAAGGTCTTGTGTAAGGTTGAATATTTATTAAAGGGGAAAATGCTCATCCGCTTTCTACCTCTGATACCCAGGACTGAGGTGGCGTGATACGTGTTTTACTATTTGTGTGAATTTTCAGCATTTAGTTTCCCAATATTTGATGATTTTCCAAAAAGAAATATTTTTTACTATCTATTTTTAATTTCATTTCATTGTTGTTATTGAACATACTTTGTATATTTCCAATCCTTGTAAAAAAAATTTGGCCCCGAATAGGAGAGTCTGTCTTGTTACATGGTCCTTATGTTCTTGAAAAACTCACTGTCACTGAATAGATTCCAGCTTCCAACTTACCCTCAGCGTAGAGTAGAAGTGCCCCCTGGGATCTCTGTGACGTACATCCTGTATGGCAGCGGCTCTCCACCTTCCCAATGCCACCGTGGCAGTTCCTCATGTGGTGGGGACCTCCAACCATAACATTGTTGTCATTTTACTTCATCACTGTCATTTTGCTACTGTTTGGAATCGTCACGTAAATAGCTGATATGCAGGATGTATTTTCATTGTTACAAACTGAACAGAAGTAAAGCACAAAAACAAGGTATTGTGAAATATTTATTTCTAATTACAAATAAATGAACTTTTGTCTTGAAGCATGGGATAGCATGGGCAACAGTCTTCACACTGGATACTATGTGGGCGTATCTGCATATGGGCAGGAACAGGGGAGACTAGTAGCTCAACTAAATTGACCACTGTAAACACAATTTAAGGAAGCAAAAGATTGCAGACTAGCCTGGAACTTCAAAGAGAGATCCAGGAAATAAGACAGCCTAAACAAACCTTTTAAAGCTTCCATATGTCCCCAGAAGAGACCAGAGAATTTCCAAAACATGTGCACTTTTTTGGGTGAATATGAGCCAGTGTTATATGTGCAGGAGATGATGAGAAGGCAAAAAGTGAAGGCCACAGCGGATTTAAAATACATGAACTTGGAATGTGCTTTCCACAACGAGCAGGCCCACTGCCAGAGGCTGACAGCCCTCCTGGCTCCTGGTGCCTTAGCACCACCTCGGACCAGTTACTGGATGACCTTTCCAAGTGATGCGGTCAGTGGCTATCATAGGGATGTCAGGCTTAAAATAAAAGTTAAATTGAAAATTGTATTTATTTTAAAATAAAAAATGTCAAGTTCACCAGAGATATTAGCAGCTGACTACCACAGGGGAAACACATACATATGATAGATAAACTTCAAACAAGTCATTAAACAAAGAAACAGAAGCAGCAACAGGAGCAACCACTGTCAAGGTGAGGGTGGTGGTGGGGACTCCAAAATCACCACAATTTATTATCTAAAAAGTCCAGGGCTCAACAGAATACGGTGAAGCATGCCAAAAAGGAAACCGTGACCTATAGTCAGGAAAAAACCCTCAAAAATCACAGCTCTCAAGTAATTCCAACCCACAGCAACCCTACAGGGCGGGACAGAAGTGCTCCTGTGAGTTTCTGCGGCTGTAAATCTTCATGGGAACAGAAAGCATCGTCCTTCCCCCTTAGAGCAACCGGTGGTTTTGAATGAATATAAATTCTCCTGGGGACCCAGATGTTGGACTTAGCAGAAAGACTTCGAAAGCACTATGTCTAAATATGTTCAAAGAAGCTATATGTAAAGAATTAAATAAAAGTATCACTGGCCTCAAACACACAGATACAACTAACTGGGCAAGACAATAAGACTGAGATCTAACTTAACAAAAACAACATGCAAAGCGAGGCAATAAGAGAACTATAATTTTCAAAGAAAACAGGGAAAGTGACTGCAAGTGAACCACTGGCCTTTGGTTAACAAAGCTACCAAAAAGCCAAGCAAAAGGTCACTTTAAAAATGAAGGGACTCCATGAGTTCTGTACTCATGAGCCACAATTGAGGACTGTAAGACAAGATGAGATTCATACCACAGGACACAACTGCAGTAAACTCAACAAGTAGCTCATTGTGAGCAGGCCTGGCAATTTATTTCCATAAAGTTTACAGCCAAGGGTAGTCTTACTCTGCACTTTGGGGTCACTTAGGAGTTGGAATTAATGCAACAGCACCTCACCACAGTAGCACCTTCTATCAAAGAATAGCTCAATGGTGGGTAAAGTAGGGAACACATAGCTAATAAAGCCCATAAAATTAAATCATAAAAAATATTCAATCCAAAAGAAGGCAAAGAGGGAAAGAAAGATCAAATGGGGCTAATTAAAAAAAACAACCCAGCAAGATTACAGACCTAACCACAACAATCACACTCCTCACTGGCATTGAGTCAGTGCTGACTCCCAGCCACCCCCTGTGGGTTCCCAAGACTCACTGTGTACGGGAGTAGAAAGCGCAATCTTTCTCCCTAGGAGGTGTTGGTAGTTTCTTATGACGGATCGTGTGGGTCACAGCCCAACTGTATCTAACTAGGGACCGCTGGACACCACCCAGGTTCCTTAACAATAACAACAATCTAATTAAATGTTCCCCAATTTATGTGGCTTTCTTCCCCACAATCCAGGATAAAATGAAGATAGCTGCTTTTGCAACCCTGCTTTGTTCCATTGCCCTCTAGAGGGCAGTGTTGTCCACTTTGGGATGGGAGCAGAGGGGAAGAAGAGTCAAAGCAAGTAATTCACTGAACTACACAGAGGAATATTTGTGATTATTTTGATCATGCACAACACTAACTTTCAACTCCAATTAAGTGATGTTATCCTGTCAAAATCAGTTCATTCTTATTAGTAGACCTGTGTTCCAAAAAACATTGTCCTCAAAAATTTTTAATTTCACCAGTAAAAAATTGTGAACATGTATCTCCTCATTTGTTATGCAAATATGTATACTTGATTTTGCTTGTAGGCCTCACAAGTGTAAAATATTTACTATCTGGCTCTTCACAAAAAAAGTTTGCTCACTTTTGCTTTAGATTACTAACATTAGGTTTTCCCTTTTTAGAGACCTAATACCATGAATTATATGAATTGATTTTGCATACTAAATAAACTGTAATTTTGGTCATAATATAGTATTTTTTATGTTGTTGGATCTGCCCAGAATTTAAAAAGCATCTAAACTCCCATATTCATGAGGGATATTAGGGATATTTTATTAGGATATTAGGGATATTATAGTTTCATTGTAATATTGTCTCCTTTGGGGTGACAGCTGAATAACGTTCTCACACCATGTGTTTGGAAATACTGAATGTTAACTTCTCTAAGGTTGTTGTCCGGTGCCGTTGGGATGGTTCCAACTCAGCAGCCCACTGTACAGCGGAGCAAACCCGGCCTGCGCTGTGCACCCTCACCACGCGTGTTTGGGAGCCCGCTGTTGCAACCTCTGCGTTGTTCTATAGCTTGAGGGTTCTGTTCCACTCACCCATGACTTTACCAAGTATGATGTCTCTATCCAGGGACCAGCCCCTCCGGATCACAAACCCAAAGCACATGAGACAACACTCTGACTACTTCCTCCAAGATAGCTTTGCTCATCCTCCCGGCAGTCTGTGTATACTTACTAGTCTTGTCTAACACTTTAATTGGGAGCCATCAACAATTCTTCCTTGGTCTTCCTTACTCAGCGTCTACTTTTTGTATGCAAATCAGGCGATTGAAAATATTGTTTGTGTCAGGCTCACCTGTCTTCAGTGATGTCTTTCCTTCTTGACACTTTAAAGGGATCTTTTTCCGATTTGTCCAGTGTAATACGGTGTTTGGCTTCTTGACTTCTGCTCCCATGAGCATGGGTTGTGCATCTAAGTCAATGAAGTCTTTTCGATAGACAGAGTGAAATCTGTGAGAACCAGAACTTGATGGTTCTGATCTGTAAGAATCATCTGGGCCTGTAAGTTTTCCACCTTTGAAAGGATACAGTCTTTTTTGTGTGTTAATCACTGGCAGTGGAAGATAGTTTAGTTTTCCCTCTTTGACAGGTTTCTGTTTTCTCCAGGTTCCAGTGTTTGCACATATCACTCCACACGGCTATTCCTTCTTGGGTGAACTTTGGTAGTGTTTGTTTATCATGGAATTTGCTCATTTTATCTAAAGCTTGGATTTTTTGGGTATACATTAGTGTAATAGACTCTTTTCAGGGGCACTGGTGGTTCTCACTATTTTCTGTAAGAGAAGCTCAGATAGATTGCTGGCAGTGCACCTTACGAGCAGCCACCGCCTGACCGTCTGTCAGTGAAGGCTTGCAGGTTAGTGTGATGCTGATCAGGCTGCAGCAAAGCTATCAGACCAAGGCGGAGCAGGAGGAAAATCCTTGTGGCCACTTAGCACTGCGATCTACTTCTGAAAATCAGTCCATGAAAACCCGTGCATCTTAATATGCGTGGGCTAAGTAGGCAGCTTTTTGTTCTGTTGTGCATGGTGTCTCTGAGTTGGAGGCCAACAATATGTCAACAACAATCTTGTTCTTTGAAGGTGTTTAAGAGATATAATAATATACCCTAACATATATATTTTGATAATATTTTGTTTGCTCTCCTGTTTTTTAACCTGACCACTCTAGTCAGGATTGTATCAAACACATTATTCTTTTCACAGATAAGGTTTTTATTTTATTAATTTCAGTATTTAATTTTTTTCTATTTCATTGATTTAAAAAAAAATCTGATTTTTAATAATTTTTCTTTTCTGCTTACTATTTCAGTTTCTTGAAATTGACATGTAGATTATTGAATTAGGAATTAACTTATTTTCTACTTGTTGCTGCTCTAAATTACACCCTACAGATTTTGTTATGTTGTGCTTCATTCTATTAGCTTTAAGATATTTTCTTACGTTTAAAATGTTTTTTCCTTTGACATGGGGGCTATTTAGAAATCTATTGTTCATTTTGAATATTTAAGGACTTTTCAGATATCTGTTACAGATTTTTCATTTATTGTTTATATGAGAACCTCCTTTGTATGACTTTCCACCTTTTAGATTTATTGAGACTCATTTCATGTCCCCAGACATTACTTATCATGCTGGATGTTGTTTATACACTTAAAAAGAATATTTATTGTGCTCCTGTCTGGTTTTTAATACTCAATTAATGTCAGCTAGATCAAGTGATTTGTTACTGTTGTTTCACTCTTCCATATCTTACTGATTTTTTCCTACTTATTGACAGTTGAGTCTTGAAATTTGAAATTGAAGTTGTGGATTTGTCTATTTCTCCTTCAAGTTCTGCCACTTTGGTGCATGCATTTTTATTTGTATTAGCTGTTCGATGCATGCCCATGGAGCATTGTGATGGCTTCATGAAGACTGGGCTATGTATCATTATAAAGTATTTCTCTTTATTGTTAATCCTTGACCAAATGCTACTTTGCCTCTTATTACTATATCTGTTTCAGCTCCCAACACTATTCCCCCTTTTCTCCAAAGGTAATTTACAACAATCCTGGCTTTTATGTTACTTGTTTCTTTGCTACCCTTTATAGTTTTATCACCAAAGCAAGAATTTCCAAACCATAGAATCATTTTCTTCTTCTTCTTCTTTTTTCCCTTTACTTGTTATATATGGACCCATGCTTTCCACAGTCTTCTAGACGATATTGTGTTTGTGAGAGTCATCCGTGCGGTATGTATCTGCAGCTCATTTGTCTTCATTGCTGTGTGGTATTCCATTGTACAAATACACTATTTTACTTTCTGTTGTAGTTAGTTCGGCTGTTTCCCACTTTGCCCTAACATGAATAATTCTGCTGTTAAAGTCTTGGATATGACTTTTGGTAGACAAATATTTCTATTTTTATAGGATATATTTTTAGTACTGGAATTACTGTTTTATGGGTATACATATCTTCAATACATATATGAGGGGGTACCCCCCCAAAACTGGATTTTTCCCAAAAAACTGTGTATTTAAATTTTTTTTACAAAACAACCTTATCACCCTCAGAGTACTCTCTATTACACGTAATACATTTGTCAAATCTGTGATTCCATTTTTGGAAACATTTTGAAACTCATCTGTTTGGATGGCTGACAACACCTCCCTTGTTTTTTCTTCACCTCTTCTCTGTCGTCAAATCGCTGTCCTTTCATGTCCCTCTTCATTTCAGGAAACAAAATGAAGTCACATGGAGTCAGGTCAGGTGAGTCAGGTGCGTGGGGCAAGAGAGGCATGCAGTTTTTTGCCAAAAACTGGTGTACTGAGATGGCTGTGTGAACAGGTGCATTGTCATGGTGGCAGAACCAGTCCCCTGTCTGCCATAAATCAGTCCTTTTTTGTCACACAGTTATGCAATCTTTTCGTAACCTCTCAATAGAAAGCTTGATTAACAGTCTGACCTGGTGGAGTGAACTCCAAATGCACTATCCCACTCACATCCCATCCGTTTTTTTGGGGGTACCCCTTTGTACATATGTAGACCTTGAACAGTTTTCTAGAGTGGTCCTATGAGTTTACATTCCCACCAGCGGATTTCTTTTACTCTGTATCTTCAACAATATTTGGTATTGTCAGCATGGAAAATTTTAGCCCTTTTGGCGAGCAGGTAGTGATTTCTCATTGTGGATTTAAATAGCATTTTCCTAATAATTAACTAACTGGAAATCTTTGGTGACATTCCTGTTATGTCTCTTGCCTGTTTTCCTATTAGGGTTTTTTTTTTTTCCAGGTTGCTTGTTTATTGTTTATCAAGTGAGTGGATGAGTTCTTTATGTATTTTGTGTTTGAGTCCTTTGCGAGTTGAAAGTAAAGCAGGGAGTCGGTAATAAAAATTATGTGTGGTGGTGGTGGGGATTTTAGATAGAATGGCCAAGGGGTCATCTGTCCTGAGAACTTAACCATGTGTGGCAGGCAATAGTCTAATTTACTTCGTTTACCCTCCCTCTATCTGTGTGAGGTGACTGCTGTTATTAGTCCCTGGGCACTGAGAGGTTAAACAACGTGTCCAAGTCTCATTGATTGGCACTGTGCTTTGAGTCCATGTTCTTCATCATTCCTAGCTTCTGGCTTCACCTGTAGGGGACAGATTTGGACCTGTGTGGAAGCCGCGGGATTTGTGGTGGTTTAGTCTTTGCCATTCCCAAGAGATGTGAACTCTTGGGCGTGTCACTTAACCTACATAGATAGGGCTTGGATCTATTAACTATAACATCAGTTTGTAGACTAAGTGTTCTTTGAAAGTTTTCAAACTTGAGAAGCCTTATTTACTGTTCTATATTTTTTTGACACTGGACTGTTCTCCCTGAAGTTCTCCCCGGTTGCAGCCTTTGCTTGTAACCCCCATACCAGCAGCCGAAGGTATGGCTACAGTCAATGCACACATGTTACTGGCTAGATAAGTAGGAGGTCCATGACCTACCACACTTGGCATTACAGTCATCATCAAAGCAGGGCCTAGAAACCTTAACTTCTCCCTGAACAACCTGTTGGCATTCTCTCCCAGGCCAGGGGCAGGAGGGGTCCTGGATGAGCAGAGCTGTGTTTTGTGTTATAGGCATTTGTGGCATTCGGGGATGTGGCTGTGGATTTCACCCAATGTGAGTGGCAGCTGTTGAGCCCTGCCCAGAGAAGCCTGTACAAGGATGTGATGCTGGAAAACTATATCAACCTGACCTCACTAGGTAAGATGGGCTTCTCCTAAGACATAAAATATGTCTGCTGGATACGCTAGGCTGTTTGTGGATCACCTGCTTGGTAAGCTGGCTTTGGGCTTAGGATATGAAGTATGTGGGCTGAAACTAATGTGGATATTTTGTTTTGTGCCTGATATTCTGGGTTTCCTGGTCCATTTCTCAAGGCTGAATCTTTCTTTTTTGTCATGCGGATACACATGTTAGTTTCTAGATTATAATCATTCTCCCTTTCTCAGTCCTTCCCCTGCCAAGAGCTCAGTTTTCAGAAGACCTTGCAGTTATCATTTGGCTTCCCTACATGACTGAGTTGCTAAGAGACAATTTTCTTTTCTCATGAATAGGAATTCCTTTTTCTAAACCAAAGCTCATCACTCATCTGGAGCAGGGGGTGGAACCCTGGCGAGAGGACAGACTATGTCTACCAGCCCTTTGTCCAGGTGAGTGGGAAACATACAGCAAATGGGACACATGGCAGCTCAGCAGGTTGGGAGAAGGTTAGTGTTGATGTGTGCCGGCATGAAAGCTCTTCTTCAGGCTTTTTGGCTATTGCTTAGGCTGCCTGGCACTGCCTCCAATCTGGATCATTATCTTCAGCCAACAGGGGGCGCTCTGAGCATCCCTTGACCCCTTTCAGTTGTCTTGCCTTCCTACTGTGTTTGACTGCTCCTCATTCGTGGGCTTTGTTTGTCAGCTTCATCTTCAGAACAGCACCTACCTGACCTTATGTCTGCTCCCAACCCCTGGTACTTTCATTCCTTTTATTCTTAACCTTGTAAATCCGTATTTCTACCTCTTCATTTCCCTTGCTGGGCAAACAGGTTGAAAAAGTATATAAAAGGATGCAACACTGATGCACACCTTTCCTGTTTTAAAACCATGAAGTAGCTCCCTTTCTGTTAAGAAAAATGATGCTTGAGATACTGCTTGGAAAAATCAGCTGTAGGGAAAGTCACTTAGAAGACACTTTCATTATTCTAGGTGAGAGATAATATGGGTTGGACCACTGGTTGGACGTTGAGGTTGTAAGAAGTGGTCTAATAGAGGGTGGGTCCTTCTATTAAGAAGGCCTTTTGGCTTGAAGGTCAACAAGCAGCCATCTAGCTCAGAAGCAACAGAGCCCACATGGAAGAAGCACACCAGCCTGTATGAACATGAGGTGTCGATGGGATCAGGTATCAGGCATCAAAGAACAAAAAATCATATCATTGTGAA